AAACAAACATCTGAGTCTGGATTTAACTGAGACTCACACATGTATGGATGAATCTCTCATATGTTTCCCCTAATGCTAACGCTAGCTATCTTGTTGTGCACTGCTCTTTTCACCAGTAACCTATACCTAGCCTCCCATAGCCTGTGCTTAGTGCTGTGCCAGCGGTGAAGAAAGCGAAAGCAAAACCTACTGCAAGCAGTGGTAGTCGGCAGGGTGTCAGGCTAGATCCAGAATTTCTTAACGAGGAAAAGGAGTAGATGTGCTTTCAGCTCCTTTACTAAGTTTTTTTTTTTTTTACTTTTAATGGGGAAAAACCATGTTGAACAAAATTTTAATCATAGCAGAGTATTTTTACATACTTAAAAATGTGTCTGGAGGGGGACTTTAAGAAAATTGTGACAGACATTTCATCCATTTTTTGACATTTTAATTGTCAGTAGGAGCCCTAGTTAATACTTTGTGATTTAAGTTTAAGTGTATCGCAAGCAAAGAGACATTTTTGGGACCACCATAATCCCTTGAATAACCTTTAAAGACTTAAGATAAATAAAAAAACCCATTGAAAATCCAGAATCTATGAATATTCAAATATTGCTGAATTCAAAGATTAACTACTGGACACAAGTTTGTCCTGCATCACTGAAAAATCCCTTCTCAGTGTATGTGCACTGGAGGCCTTATGTTTACACATCATACTTATGCAAGTCACACACTGGACTATGATTGGCTTTCAAAGTAGTTGTGGTGTCACAAAATCCTGCACATGTCCACCTTAAACTCACACTCAGGTGAGCACAGAGAACCTTGCTTTTTGTGAAAACAGCCTCCTTGTATCAAACGAGTGGAGGGGGGCTCAGAGTTTATGCTTTATCTAAGAAATAGCAGCTTGAAAACGATGCAATATGGTTAAAAGACCCCCAAAAGGGATTGTTTTGTTAAAACATCAACTCCAAGGAATGAACCTTTGATTAAACTAAAAAGCTTTGGCCGACTTGTAAAGTAAAAGCTTATGACGCATCTCTGAATGTATCTCAAGTATGACTACATGTTGAGTGTAAGCCAAAGTTGATCTTTGTGGAAGAAGCCCCAGGACCTGTGTGCCTGGAGGGAGAAATAGAGCCTATGTCAGTCAGCAAAGAAGTGGATTGGCAGCGTTGACTGATGGACCAACTGGTGCCAGGATTGGTTTGAACAAGCTCCTACAGGCTGGAGGATGACGTTCAAACTGTCGGCAAATGACACACTGCAACACTCAGGCTTCAGTTGATGTGGTATGGATATGATTAGAGTGGTGTTGAGACTCAGCCTAAAGAGGTAGTTAGCTGAGAATTATAAGACCTCGCAAACAAGCAACATTAGCCCGGGTGCCCGTGGTCCCACAACAGCTAGGCTCCTTCTTGCTTTCATTTGCACCGATAGCTGACTTTCCCAGCGCTGGGAAAAACACAATGAAAGGTTTTTTAGGGCCCTTTTAAAGCCATCGTCCGTTAGCAATGTGGCAGCCCACCATGGGCACTCAGACACAAACACCGGCATTCTGGGTAATTACTGCTAACGACCCCGCTGCTCGTTAGCCAGACCTCCTATTTTTGCCATCACTGTGCCAACACCCTGAGCCTGTGACATCAGAGCTTGTTTTGTTGTGGGTCAACTTTGCATGCGGACGCTTTTAATGACACCAGACAGTGGTAGAAGTGTGTGTGTGTGCAAGGAAATGTTAGCATGCCTGACGAGCCAGTGTCTAAGTTAATATAACTGTGTCTATGCAGTGGAGTGTTTGCACAGAGACTACAACTTTGTATGGATGTGTGTGTGTGTGTGTGTGTGTGTGTGTGTGTGTGTGTGTGTGTGTACAGACACAGCTGGGTCGTGCAGAGCTAAAGCCAAAACACTGGTCAATGTGCAAAAATGAGAGCCAGCGAGATGCCCATGAGAAGAAAGTGAAAGTTTTGTTTTTTTTGATTGCTCTTTTTAAAAGGGTTATGACTCTGCTATTCAGATCCCACGATTGGCTGCCAAACCTCTAGTGACGCACACAACGTACACGCACACACACATTTCTGTGTAAAATGCGCCACCTCACACACCACACATTCACGAAAGGATTCATTTTATCTCAAAAGAAAAATCTAAATTAAAAACAAAAACAAATGCAGAAACCACAAAAGAGCAGACTGTGTCTGCAAAAGTTTAAGAGTACGGGAGATCACAGCAAGTCTGTGCTGAGTGCATTGTTATGTCGTATGTTATGGGTACATTTTGATTGGACAATGCTTTTACTTAAGTCACTTCAAGCTCATCCAACAGATATAATGAATGATTTTGATGAAATATAATCTAAATATAATGTTATAATATTATTTGTCCCTGAAATTTGCAGAACTGTTCCGAATACCAGTTTGGGGTATTAAGGCTTCAAGAAATATCAGCGATTAATCAAAGCTTCGATGAAAGGGGTGGGAGTAATGACAGACAAGTCAGACTTTTTATGAAAAATCTATTTTCAGTCGATGCACCTAAAATTACATGACAATTAGCCATTTTGTTAGCATGTAAGTTGCAGTAACATAAGCCACTCTGCAACTCTGCAAAGGCTAAGCTGTTACTTACAGTTTTCAGGTGAGCTCGTTGTTGATTTGTGATGAACCAGTTTCCTTTGGCATATCTGTCTCTTAACTTTTTGGGAGCAAACTTCGCAAATTTGGAACAATTCCAGATATTTGGCTTTTGCAACATCTTGCTAGCTATCTGTAAGCCTGTCACATGTGTTCAAACTACCCCAGTCTCTGCAGCGCTGACTGCTAGTGACTGATGTTGGATGAGAATGAGTCAGAGTCATACAACTATCACTAACTTTAAATGTCCTTGTCTGAGATGTTGATGCATAATGGATAATGTCAGCTTACTATTTCTTAATTTATGGGCTACTTGAGATTTTTGGGGTAATGCATAAATATACAAAAACAACAACTGAGCATTCGAATACTGATTTGGATGTTGATTACCAGGGCAACAATCAAAGCTTTGATGCATTCGGGTCAGCCCTATTAATCTGTCTACAACATGTCAGCTGTTTCCAATACTCAAATTAAGCACTGAAGTGTTTTCCCTTGATCTTTATGTTGTGTTGTTTTTCATTTGTGGACATGTAGTATTCATACCAGAACTATTAAGAGTGCTATTTGTCACAGAGCTGAGCTGCTGTCTCACATACTCTTGCACACACATACACACAACTCTCATGAGGATGACAATGCCCTATTTGGGTAGGGTGCCATCTCCTGGTTGGAACAGAGCATGAAACCTCATAGCCCACCCAGGGATGTGGAAAGTAGAGTGGGGATGGGGGGTTACAGGGCTCTGCTATTTCACATGCAGTTGCCACGTCTCCGCAGGTTTAGCTGGCACTTATCAGGGTCACACCACCACTGCCAACTATACTGATCCCTATATGAAGTGGGAATGAAAGTTTAAGTGTTTTAGGGGACCAACTAATGATTTACTTTCTAATCAGTCACTTTTTTGATTCTTTTTTAGATCAATGGATTGATTGTTTTGTCTATAAACTGTCAGGAATTATTGAAAAATCCCAGAGATTTTCCATTTACAATAATATAAAGCAGAGAAAATCCACACATTCAGAGGCTGAACTCGAGACCGTCTGGTACTTTTGCTTCATAAATGACTAAAATTGAGTATCAGAATTATAACTGATTCTCATAAACCGAGCACTTATTTGCTATTGTTAACTAAACTAGCTGTATGCACTTATGGATATGACTTATAGATGTACCGGGGTGACACTGGGTGGGGCGGGCGCATGCAGCATGTGCGTGAAAGATGAGTGTCTGCAGAGCGAGATGCAGAGGCCAGAGGCAGCAGGTAAATCATTGGTCATCTCAGGCTAGTAAAAGAGGCTTAAGTTAAGTGACAGGAGAGGAAGAACCTTCACAGTGGACTGCACACAGAAACCGTGCACTGTCAATAGTATGTAAACAGTGTGTGTTAAGGGAGAGTAACAGGCTTAAGGCTCTGATCTCACTGACTGCAGTTGGTCTGTTCTGCAGACGCCAGCTGGTAAACATGCCCATGTGGGCCAAGTCTGTGTTTGTATGGGCGAGGGCAGGAGCTACAGTGTGTGTTGTGCATGAATCAAAGATTGTGCAATAAAAAGCAAATAGAGTGCAATCAGAGTTAGTAGTCAGATGTGCCGGACTGATGGGATATAGCATACCTGAACAAAAAGAATTGTGTGTGTGTCTGTGTGTGTGTGAAAGAGAAAGAGAGAGAGACAGAGATGGACAGTTTTACTGCGATGTGTCTCCTTCATGTCTTATCTCCCTCTGCTCCTCTCCTGCACTCCATGTGAGGGCAGATTCTCTCCTCTTTATGACTCTTTATCTGACATGAAAGGCACTAACATGGGATACCCGCCATTACGGCTCCATCAACATGAAAAGCTCTGACACGGGATTCTCCACCGTGGCTCAGCCCATTAAGGACGACTGGTGATCCTGTGCTCTGTCAAGGAGCCGTCACAAGCAGGCAGCACCAACATAATGAGGACTTAAAACCTTAACCTTGCCTTTAAGACCCCTGGTCAAAAGCAGCAATAAAACCTCACGAGGGCACCTACTGGCTGGCCCGCTCAGTAATTACAACCCATGTCCTAGCACTAACCCAAAAGGTCCCACAGTTTAGATATACAAAAGAGTGTATGACAGTTCAGAAGTAAGACTGAGGGGTCACAGTCCTGACACTATGATTGGTTTTTCAAATGAACAAACTAGCAGTCTGATTCTGCTTTTGTTACTGCCATCTACACCTTCTCTCAATCCCTTTACATGACGCCTGTCCAATGGCAACAATCTTCAAGTCTTCAAGTCAAAAGAGCTGATGAGAATAGTCGAACTACACAGAGTCGCAAAATCAAATATGCAGAGATGGACAGCAAATCAAAAAGGTGCACGTGCTTGCTAACTCTGTGGGTGACACATTACCTCCTGACACTGGAGCATCCATGAACACGGCACCCATCTTCTCCGCGGCGGCTGCCATCTCTCTTGAGACAGCAGGGTCGATGGTGGAGGAGTCAATCAGCAGCGTTCCTTTCTTCACCTTCCTAAAGAGGGCAAGACAAAAAAAGCATTAACACTTCCCGCACAGTGCATGACGTAAGTTTGGTTCTGTTTGTGCATTAAACACGTTGCAATTGTGCTTTTCCTTTCTTATAGGTTTTAAAGAGGTCGGATGAGGTTACATGAACATCAAAAACTGAGCCTGTGATGTTAAGTGTACTTACTTAAGGATGCCATTTGGGCCAGTGTAGACTTCTATGACATTTGGACTGGAGGGCAGCATTGTGAGGATGCGGTCTGCTTTCTCTGCCACCTCTGCTGGGGAGTCTACTACCTAAATATTAGAGTTATCATTTTATATCATCACGTCAAAGCTAAATAAACATCTTCATAAACATATGGGATGTACTGTAGCTCTTATGTATGACAACCTGTTGGCTCAGAGGTACATTTAGTAGCTGTTCTACATGACTTTCAATGAGGGGGGGGTAAAAGCTCTGTCAATATGGAGTGTATTCTTAAATGTCAAATTTTATTTATCTATATGTCATATTCTATCAAATGTCCATATGTGATGTGTTGACTGAGTGTTACCTGTGCACCGATGTCATGCAGCTCCTTGCAAGACTCAGGGAAGACATCAGTGGCAATGACAGGATAACCATTTCTTAACAAGTTTTTGGCCATGGGAGTGCCCATGTTTCCCAAACCAACAAACCCCACTGGTGTTTTTGAGGCCATCGATCGCGCTGACACTGAGGGAGGATCACAAACACACCATTAGAGGTGTAGGAAAAAATGTGAGACTTGTTAAGTTGAAGTCCAGAGCAACACAAACACATTACAGAACAGTTCAGAGAGGCTGCACACAGTAGCTGTCTGCAATGATATATTTTACTTTTACTTTACTTTCTATGTAAAATGCTTTACATAGAATCATGGCAAGACAAATTCCCACTATGGGTAGTGCTATGAAAGAAAGTCCCTCCTTATAGGTGATGACGGTCAGGTCAAGTGGCAGCGAAAACCAACTGAAAAAACTGCTATCCTTATATTTTCTAGAAGGAAATGCCCCGATTAGAGTCACTAACAACGGAGCAAATCTTTCTGCTGTGACTTACGACCAGCTTTTGGGCAGTCTGGCCAAGCTATTAAACACTGCTGGCTCAGCCAAGGTCCATCCAGGTTAACAGATACTAAACAAAGCGGAGACTCTGGCAGCAAACCAACCAGACTACAGTACAACAACAGGATTAGGCCTAGATAGTAAAGCCAAACAGAGTCCGACCTGAAATCCAACCAACCCTTCAACATATACTGTAGATACAACATTGAGATGGTTCACCAATGATACTTCTGACAATACCTTCAAGAGGATACAGTAGTAGTAGTTTTGACTTAATGACACACCAACATCTAGTAAGATGAGTATCTACTATAATGTTATGCTCTATGAAATAGAAACAACGACTGAACACATGCCTCTTCAAGACGTACATGTAACCTTGGTGCTTTTTCTGTCTTGCAAGACTGTAGTCCATCGTTTATCATTACACCCATTTTCCCTAATTTAAGAAGGGAATCATATAATCTTACAAAAATACATGTGCGTTCCAAAATCAGCAGCATATCTGGTCTAATACTTCTCTTTTTCTAAGTTAACGTAAGACAGAAAGAGCAGATGGTCCATATGGGAATGTGGTTCCCGCTGTCTAGGCTGACGAAATATTTCAGTTGTCTAAAATAAATTTTGTTCTGTATGGTGTTTTGCAGTGAATTGTACACAACCAATTAACCACTGTTTCATTTTGTAGTCCCTGCATGGTATAACAATTTAAATGAAAGTTTCATTCTCAGGAACTTTTTGAATCAAACTATGAATGCTCTGCGTAATGCACTGCTTCCTCTGGTTGTACACTCATACAACCAGTACATAATATAATTAATGTTTTGTTCTCACGTTAGGCCAACAACTGATATTTCTTTCCATTGCCAGTTAGTATGTTGATTATTGTTTCCAATTCATCAATAATTTCTACAATTTCTCCCAGCCCAAGGTGGCGCCTTCAAAGCTTGTAAATGGTGAATGGACTGCGTTTATATAGCGTGTTTCTAACTTAACAGGCAAAATCCTTTACAATTGTCCATTCATAATCAGGAGCAGTGTCTTGCTCAAGGACACGCTAGGTGGAAAGGAGGAGCCGGGATCGAGGCTGAAACCAGGAAAATGTTTGCAATAAATGGCTGATTGATTTTTTTTTGTTAATTTTCTTTTGATTAAAAAGATAAATGTATCATTTCAGCACTAGAATTGATTTTAGCATGTAATATATGCATGTGACATAATCGTGACTATTCACTGCCACAGATAAATTCAGACTCATTCTAAACTTTGATGTATAAGGCTACTGGAGGCACAGGTAACTTGTCTGCTTCTGATCTTACGCCCTTATCATTCCAGTATAGCATATTGATTTATAATTTATCTATAAAAAATATTGATTTATTTTAATATAATGATAATAATATGTCTTAATATGTTCACACAAGTATGTCACCATGGTGGCACGTCATCACAGAAGTATTATCATTATTACAAGTTACAATAACCCTTAAGGGAATGAAAACAGAAGGTTTTCCTTTGGTTGAAGAAACATATTTCTTTAACTGAAACTTCACTCATATGTAAATAGTATATGTATATGTAAACAGTTGTCCTGTTTAAAATAACTAAAATAAAGGTGAGATTCTCTGTCTATTCTGCATTTTTTATTTATTTTTTTGCTGTAGATAAGCAAATGTACACAGTATTATAACGCTGTACACGTTGAAACTGGTATACCTCTGCAACCGTAATGTCAGCCCATTTGAAGTGATTGCTGATAAATTGGATGTAAAGAACTGGACCATGTCTGCTTGTACAGTCATTACCAGGGGAAAAGGGGAAACACTGTACTTGGGCCTCTAGAAGATCCCTCAATTATTCCTGTAGCCAAATTAAGCCATTGCAATGCAGTGCCAGGTAGTTAAAAAAGCAGGACTGATTGTTTCAACACCAGAAAGTTACATGCAATGAAGAAAGGACCAGTGGAGCTAAAATATTATGTCACTGTCACCTGAATTTCCTTTGCATTTTCACTAGGACCATTAAAGCCAACAGTGACTGCTGCTGATTCAGACAACACGGTGTTGCACTGCTGGAGGGGCAGGTAGGAGTGGTGTTGAGGCAGTGTTGCAATCCAAGGCTAATCCATGAACTTGTGCAATGAAAAACAAATAGTTGTGTCGAGAACAGAAACACCTAAAGCAGACTAACATACTCACAGCCCAATGCAGACTTTGCACACATCTATTGAGGTCCATACAAACATCACTGTCAGCTAAAATGAGCTATTACTTGGCATTGCTTCACACTGCATAATGCTCATGTCCATTTAGAACACTGTCCCAAAATACTGCATGCCTGAACACCCCACAGCAGGTGGTCACCTCAGGGACATTGTGTCCAGACTGTCACACTTAACTAGCACGAGCAGAGGGGATTCATACTTTTTTTTTTCAGATGGCTAACAAGCTAGCTAACAGGCTGGAGCACAGTGTTCCGCTTGCATTTCCCTCTCAACACACGCGGGGAAACGGCACACAGAAACTCACAACAGAAGCGAATACGTTACCGAAAGCAAGGTCGACATGCTTGTTCCACCTTAACAATAAATGTCGCGACCCTCTAAACAACGCAGCCATGCTTCTCTCCCCTTGACCTCGGCGTACAGTGACAGCTGTCAAGCCAGGAAAACCCCACTGAACTGTTATGAGTGACTGTGGTTTCCGCCAATCGCAGCGCTCAGTGAGGTTCCGCAGCCAATGGGAACGAGGCAAAGGCGGGATATCCGGTGCTTCTGCCTAATGCGGTTTGGCCGATTTTGTGAATACATTATATACTCTAAATTAACAAATACGTAAAATAAATAGATTTGAGAACAATGAAATTAATAAATGAGCTATAGGCTATATTTTGCTTTGTATTAAATGCTGCATAATTAGTACACAGCACGTAGACTGAACGTGATTTTCGCAGCAACTCTGTATTATTAACGTTATAATTAAGAGGCGATATATGAATATGAAGCAAGGTAGGATGATTAGTAAACTGATTTAAGCAACTTCAGTAATTACTAGAAACACCTGCTTTCTCCCCCCGTCGCATCCTCAGCATCATTGCTGCTGCTCAGCATCCCGGAAGTTCAACATCATTTGCTCTCTCAGGAAGAGACGCATCATCGTCAGAGCTTTGTCAACAACGGGGACAGTGGCAAAAACATCGGCCTGCCCGGCAGAAATTCACTCCTTTGTGCAAGTGGGATTCATATGAAAAGGGTACTCTTTCAATTTTTCGCAGAATGAGCGCTTGTGATGTTCATGTCTTGTCTCAGCAAGCTAGCACACCGACCAGAGTACTGTTGAGCTAGCTAGTGACTTGACACGACATGGCCTTCTTCACAAGCTAATGTTAGCTGCCGAGCTATCGTTAATAAGATTATCCTCTGACTGGGTGAAGTAGTTTCATATGGCATAGCTGTGCGGGAGCTATTTCGTGCAATGTGTACAGGTATAAGTGTTACTGTGGCTCACTGTGCAGATGATGCTATGTTAGCTGGTTAGCTGAATCCAGAGCCATGACTTGGGTACTTTCACATTTATTTATCTTCGTCAGGAGTTGGGTTGAATGGAAATGTGGGGCGAGAGGGTGTGTTGTCGTAGCTTGATTCTCATGGGTGGATGAAGCTGTTGCATCACTTGCAGACACACCTGCTTTTCCTCCACTCCTGACCACCACCACAGGCTCAGTTTGGACAGTCAGCTGCCTGACTATAAGTTATAATAGTCACAGTGGTGTGGTGGCGTCTTGGTAGATGGGTATACTGTGGCTTCCGTCATACATACAGCTATGTATACAATGTGGTGAACGAAGTAAGCTTTACTTAAAGTATTATATCTGAATATCTTGAATTTAAGAGAACGCTGGATATAATATTTCCTATAATGCAATTTCCCAGTGGCCTTGTAAGGAGCCCAAGGCTTTGACTCACCATGCCATCATCATATTTAACCTGACGAAGCTGAAGACGCATTATAACACTGTTGTCAGGGCTGAGTAGTTTCGATTTCACATTGACTACTTGACTTTGACAAGTGAGATCATGGAGTAAAGGTACAATACAATAAGATAAGACTTAACTTGATTGTCAGACAGAAACTGAAATTTGTCCTGCGTCCCAGGACCTCAATTGTTCACTGTAATACACATAAATATGAAAATACAAAGCAACACATTAATGCAATACATAACAAGAAAACAAAACCATACTAAAAATTAGGGCTGCATCTAAGGATTATTTTCACTGTCGACTAATCTGTCGATTATTTCTTCGATTAGTCGACTAATCATTTTATTGAAAAATGTGTTAACATGTTGAAAAATGTTGGTCTGTCTCTCCCAAACCCCAAAATTATGTCATCTAATGTCTTGTTTCGTACACACGCCAAAGGGTTTTAGTTCACCATCATAGGAGAGTGTGTAAAGCTGCCAATATTTGAACATAAGAAGCTGCAATAAGAGTATTTTGGGGTACTTTTATAGTACTTTTCTATGAAAAATGACTCAAACTGATTAGTCGACTACTAAAATAGACACCGATTATTTTAATAGTCGACTAGTCATCGATTAATCATTGCAGCCCTACTAAAAATGAAGCAAATCACATCAGACATTACGAAAAGTGGATGCTTTGCAACAAATGATTCATTCTTTTTACATTCAGTAATCGACCCAGGTACGTTGAAGCTACCTAGAAGTCATACTCCGATTAAATAGGTTTACAGACTTAGAAACAAAAGAGTTCCTCAACCTGTTAAATCGAGCCTGTGTTGCTGTAAATTTTCTGTGTGACGTCAAAAGCTGATATTCCTTAAATAAAGTGTGATGTCACCTGTCAGAGACAACATTCATTTGGTATATGCAGCTTGAAAACTTGACTCAAGTGCTTAACCCACAATCTTTAAGCAGATACAGCCAGTCTAGCTTTGAGCTTACACTGTTAATACCTCTAATAGATAATATTCAGAATAAAAGCATGCATGTACTCCCTCATTTACTGTTTTTTATTCCTTCACAAAGCTTATAGGTTGTGAAATGTCAGCAGCGGAAGGGTTTTTCCCCCACAAGTTTATCACTAAGATAAGCACTCTGTGTCATTTTAGGATGGCGCACTCGTTGCTTGGGCAGCGGCACGAAATGCAAGTTGTGGAACAAAAGTTTTCTTTGTGCAGTAAATGTCAAAGATTAGTTGAAATGTTATAGCATGATTTGCTGCAGGTTTTTGCTCTGGAGGATGGACAGAGAGGGCCTGTGGCTATTTAAAGTTAAGTCAGGTCAATTTGATTTATACAGCCTAAAATCACAATGTTGCCTTAGAGGGTTTTATAATCTGTACAACACATGGCATTGTCTATGCTGAGACCCTTGTTTTTAAATATAATATGGTAATTTTCCCAGACCTGAGGGGGGTATATGCTGTTTACATGCATATATGTGCCACTACATCTTTTCTCTGTCTTTTACTTAATCAATATATATTTTCTGAGATGGTGTGGGAACAGAGGGCCTCGCCATTTTCACTTCATTTGCCTTTTTGTTGTGCATGCGACTGAAAGAAAGACTTCTATCTTTCCTTCTCTAGACTGTTTGTGATACTCAACTTCTCTGTCCTCTGCTCTTTTGTTTCACAGGCAAATGAAGTGACCAACAGGATACAATGTCATCGTTCCAGGTGGTGGACTCGTCGCCGGGCAGCAGCGTCAGCGTCATGGAAACGTCCAACTTCGCCCATGTCATCTTCCAGAATGTGGGGAAGAGTTTCCTGCCGCAGGCGCCCCTGGAGTGTCGCTACACCCTGACCCCTTACATCACTCCCCACCCCAAAGACTGGGTGGGCATCTTCAAGGTACATCACACACGCCGCTGCGGCTTTTACTCTCACCATGCTTCAAAGACAACGTCAAGCGAGATCAGTTAAGGACCAGACTTTAATTGAACTGAATCATACATGTTACAGAAATATTTAGAGATAGAAACCGCTCTCAGCCCATTACGCAGGTGTTTGTTAGATGGATTATGTGTTATGGTGTTATTAATTGGCCATAGGTTTGCAGTCGGTACACTAACACATACTTCCGCCTTGATACTAATGGTTCACCTTTTCACTACATGCCTAAAACCTCACCACAAGCTTTGGTGTGGTTGTTCTGCATGCGGAAAGAGGAAGAGTGTACATGGTGGGCTGGTTGCAGTTGGTCTCGCTGGGGGGCAAACATTTGGTGCTCTTTATGAACCACTCTGATTCTTATTAGGACCTTTTTTTTCCCCCCACTTCACTTGTTCGCTCCCCTCTGTCTTTCCATCAGTCTTCTCTCTGCTTCCTGCTAACCAGCCTCCTCCTCCCCTCTTTTATCAAGGCCATCAAATCTCACACGTAATTAACAGGAAATGTGAACGAGGAAACTTAATGTCTCGTAAAGTCAAAAGACAAACATTTTATTGTTGTTTAAGAACTGACTTCAAATCCCCCGGCTCAATTAGAAAGGAATAAAGACGCTGTGTTTATATGGAAAAAAGTCAATTGGAAAATTTAATTGTTGTAATCCACGCTAATGAAACCTGTTTGATGGTTGGTGCCTCATGTCAGAGAACAAGCAGACCGCGCGTCTTTAATCCTCTTGACGTACATGTCTGTCTTTTTGCATATTCATGGAGATATTTAGCCATTTAATTCTGGCATAATCGTGGCATTGTGTGTGTGTATATAGGTATTAAAGCTGCGACTAAAGATAATGTTTGTGACAATTAATCTGTAGATTATTTTCTCAATTAATTGTTTAATCTACAAAACATTAAACACCAGTGAGAAAAGCCTTTTACAACATGTTCGAGGCTAAATTGACTCCATCAAATGGCTTGTTTTGTCCAACCAACATTTCCAAACCTCAAAATATTAAATTTACTATCATGTAACACCAAGGAAAACAGCAAATCCTCACATTTGAGAAACCTGCAGAATCACATTTTTGGCATTTTTGCTTTAAAAATTACTTCAATGTAGGACTGCAACTAACGATTATTTTCATTGTCGACTAATCTGTCGTTTATTTCTTCGATTAGTCGACTAATCATTTTATCAAAAAATGTGTTAAAATGTTGAAAAATGTCGGTCTGTCTCTCCCAAACCCTAAAAGTATGTCATCTAATGTTTTGTTTCGTACTCATACCTCTCACGTTTTAGTTCACTGTCACGGGAGAGTGTGTAAAGCTGCCAATATTTGAGCATATGAAACTGCAGTAAGAGTATTTTGGGGTACTTTTATAGTACTTTTCTATGAAAAATGACTCAAACCGATTAGTCAACTACTAAAATAGTCACAGATTATTTTAATAATAATAATAATAATAGTCGATTAGTCATCAATTAGTCAACTAATCGTTGCAGCCCTACTACAATGATCAATAGATTTTTAAAATAGTTGCTGATTAATTTTCAGTTGATCAAATAATTGATTGTCTCATCGTTGCAGTGCTAATATGTATGTAGGCTATTATTAGAATGAAGGGCTGTACCCGACTCAGAATTATGTCAGTCGAATCAGATTTGGCTGACAAATATACAAATATTCAACTGTTCTTTCCTTTGTTTCCATTTAAAGTTTAAACTGGGTTCAGTGGGACGTTCAGGGTGAC